CCTTTTATAATCTTTTCACACAAACTATATATCATATAAGATAATAAATTTTTTTTCTCTACTTATTGATTACTCGTTACTGAAGGACACTGTGAATGCCTCACATTAGACATCACATCAGCAATATTTGTTTATCATATATAATGAGAATATGTTTGATATTTTCTATTTAGGAGTCAAATAACAAATTTTGTTTTGAATTTTTAGCCATTTCAAGTGCATGAAGATTTTAAGTAGATTTTTTCTATTATTATTTAGCTTTATTTTTAATTTTTTAAAAATAGTACGTTTCTGTTTCTAACTAGTTTGAGATATATAAGTAGCTTAGTAGAAATATTATATGAGAAACTCACTTCTGAAAAAAGAAAAATAACTATATTGATATTTATGATATATGTGATTAATAAATATAACAAAAATCTAGTATGAATAGCGTTGAGTGTAGGCGTCTTGTTGAGTAATGTAATCCATAAGCTCTTCCCGAGTGACATAACCACGATTATTCGTATCAACTTGTTGCCAACATTGATTTGCACTGCCACGAGGTAAACCATAATAATTATTGAGATATTCAAAGACTTGCTCACCATATTCAGATGTAATTCGTCCATCACCATACTCATTGCCATAAATATTGTTTTGATCAATAAGGAATCCAATACGATCACGTCGAGGCATATCATGATTCATCATAACAACAGCACTAAGAAATTCTTCGAATGAAAGTTTTCCTGAATTATCACGATCAAATGTACGAAAAATACGAGGAATTTGAGCTTTCATGTATTGTGAATCTTGGGATTGAGAACCAGGAAACCGACTATAGATTTTACTAAACTCCTGTTTACTTAATAGTCCATCACGACCAGCTGCCTGCCGAAATTCTTCATAGACCTCTGAAACTTCATAAGGAGATAAACCAGTAGCTTGTGCTAATCTGTCCAAATCCCATTGAGTGTGTGGTCTACGACTTGAACTCTGTCCCATGATTGTTTATGGATGTGTATGTTTTGTGCTATTAAATTAGATGAAAATGAAGATAGATGCGTTTGAATGCATGTTAAATACTAAGATGAGTAAAACAGTCGATTCAGTGAAGCATAAATAACAACCTATGAATATAGTTAAATGTATGAATAGTCATGCCTCGAATCGCTGGTGAAATTGATCAAGTATGCAATCATTGTTATTATATTGCACGTTTGAAAAAAAATGTTCTACCTGCAAAGAATCATCGATGATTGGCACATGTTTAAGTCTTGATGATTTTATTATTATTTTTTTGCCCTATTGATCATTAACTCGATATTGTAAAACATATTGAAATAATCATGTTTTTATAATCTAGCTCGCGGCTGTACTATAGAATTGTAACACAGTTTAGTAGAATCAATCAATGACGAAATCAAAAGACTATCGAAGATTATTCTTCGTAGATTTAATTTAAAACTTGAACATTATTTTTCTATAGCTATCATTCAAATAAAATTATGTAATTGAATCATCTCTCCATATTCATTTAAAAGTATTTGAAGCAATGTAAAATTGATTAAATTTTAAGTAATATACTGCAATATGCAATGTGGTATTATTATCATGAAAGTTCTTGACGATTGTCTGCTTGCCTATACGTCCATTTCCGTCTTTTCTCATATTCATTCATCATTCATCTTTTTCTCTCGATGACGCGAAAACGACGTTATTCTCACTCGCGCGTGTGCATATAACCAAAGATCATATTCCTCAACATAGCTTGCTCATCATCGAAGCACACACGTCTGACTTTTCCAGTTATGTAGTCCCCAACATAGCGAGAGAGAGAGAGAGAGCACACACACGTAAAGTAAATACACCAACGGGAGCAGATGCGGTACGGAAAAACCTATACGACTATACTCAACTTTTCTTCTTCGTCGCTGTGTGTATGCGTGCGCCCGCGCGTTCGTTCCTGACGAACAACATTGCAGTAGAACAGAAGATGCTACTACGGCTTATTCTACCGCCATCATCGGTCGTCAACTTTCCGAGCGCGAGACACACTTTTTTCCGTTCCGTCCGCTTTTTCGCCTCGACTTCTCTTCTCTTTCTTTTGTCGTTGCCGAGAGCATCTTGCTTCCCATAGTATATGTTGATGTGTAATTAAAGTCGAAAATATGTTGTTCTATTCCGCTATTCTGTCAGAGAATAACGTTCGTTTATATTTGTTCCTAGAAATAATTTAGGTACTCGTTGCCGTCTATTTACTTATATGTTGATGATGATGATGAAGATGATGATGATGATGATAGTTTTGGTGAACTCTTTTCTTTTATCCTTGTTCCATGTTATTTTTACAACGACGTAACCTATATCGATCGTCGTGCGTCCGTTCTTTTTCCCTATTCGCAATGTTTCGTAGTATAAGAACACGCGAGCAGACGCGCGTGCGGAAGTTCAAGAAGAAAGAAACTCTAGAGATAGATGCTATGTGTTCGTGTGCATTTTTTTGTACATACTCCACATCTATACACATTTCCAGACAACTTTGTTTCTCTTTCCTTTCTCTTAGATTATTTTTTCCGATGGTTGGTTGCCCTCCTTTTCTGTTTTGCTCTTTCCATTTGGTTCCGTTCCCTCTCTCTCTCCCTCTGTTTCCTTCACTATTACCAACATCGAGAAAGCATAAAAGAGTTCGTGCGTTTCCCATTCGTTTTCGGCCCCAACTTTTTTTCCTCTTTTTTTCCCTCTTTTCTATCTGTCTACTCTCGCTCGCATTGATGTATTTGCAGACGCCAAATGCGCGCACACATACAGAAAAAAAAAAGACTGAGAATGAAGAAGACGAACACACATACACAATAGAAAAAAAGAGTGGTGTTGTCGTTGAACACGACTCTTCTCTTTCCACTTTTTTTTAACTTGCGCTCGGTGACTACTATATATATATGAAAGAAGTCGAATTGAGCACTTCGGTAACAAACAGAAAAAAAAGTTCGTCTCGTTCTCTTTTTCTCTGTCTTTTTTCTTTCCACACACATACTTTTTTCTGTCATTCATTTCAGTATAAAGAAAAAGGTAGTAGTAGCCGACTGAACTTACTCTATCAATTTTTTTGTTGTTTGAAGAAGACGTAGCAGCGAAAGCAGGTACTGATGAAGATATGAAAAAGGAAAGAAATTCTTGTTATTACTTCTTCGTCTATGAGATTTTCTATGAATATTTTCGGATAATATATAGAAAAGAAAAAAAAAAAAATCTTTTTTTTCTGTTTTAGCCATATTCTATTTCAATGAGTGATCATTCAATATCGACAAAAACGACGAATTCACATGCATCGACGCCATTAGGCTCGGTAGCAAATACTCTAAGCAATCAACATCATCAAAAAATTGAACCTATTGATTATACAGCTGATGAAAGTATGATTGCTGTAAGTTGAAAATTCATTTTATCTTTTTTTTTTCAGGAAAAAATGTATTTTTTCTTTATTTACAAAAAAAAAACAACAGGATTTCATGGCTGTTTTACCTCAACTTGATCCAGGTGATTCATCATCAACAGCAACTTCTCCAACATTAAAAATGAAAGGACAAACGAATGATTCATCTAAATCACTGAATAAATTCGATGCATTCACTGTTGCTGTTCAACAACAATTACTCACTCCATCATCTGGTTTATCAACCGTTCAATCATCATCGTCATCACCACCAAGAAATCAAATTGATTATCAAAATAATAATAAACGTAAGCGTAAAATTGATCGTCCAGCACAAAAACGTATACGTGGTTCATATAAACTTGTTTCACCTGAACAAAAAGTACGAATACATGAATATGCTGAAAAACATGGTGTTAAAGCAGCATCAAAATTATTTCAAGTTGCACCATCAACAATAGCTTCATGGTTATATCAAAAACCAAATGGTGAACGTACATCAGCTATACGAAATAAAGAAGCACATTCACGTATACTTGAATGGATTCAAACACGACAAGAAAATGGTGAACGTGTAAATAATCGTGATTTTCATTCCTATGCATTAGCAACAATGAGAGAATTAACCGGAAATCCAGATTTTGCTGCATCACGTTCATGGTGTTCAAATTTTATTAAAAAATATAATATTCAATTAGATAGGTAAGAGATAGAGAAAAAAAGAATTAAATTAAGTTCTATTGAATATATATTTTTTTCATTTTTTAGTGATAAACAAGTTGATTCAACATCTGCACAATTTCGTTTTGATTCTGTTGATGAAAATGCTAGTGGTAAAGATTTTTAAATCAATTCTTATTTATTTTAATTTCAAATTTCAATAATTTATTTTTTTGTTTATTGTTTTTAGAAAGTTCACAATGTTATATTGGTGGAAATAGTTCAGCTGATGTATTAACAGATGATGATGATGATGGTAATACAAATCATCATATAACAAATAATGGTGATAATCAAACAAGTCCACATAGTGATCAGACAGTAAATCCAAGTAATTCATTATCACCAACACATATAACAATAACAAATGGTATGGATGATGTATCAACAACAACACCAATTATAATTAAAGTTGAACAAGATAATGATTTTCATTGTTCATCACCTTCCTCTCCATCAATACAAACATTACCAAATAAAATAAATGTTGCAACTAGTTTACCAGTATCATCATCATCAAATTCAACGAAAAGATTAACAGGCACATTGAATCGTTTATTACATTCAGTTGTTAATCGACCAAATGGACATCATTCTCATCATCTTCATCATAATGGTTTAACATCATCACCATCAGCATCATCATCAACAACAATAACAACACTAGTTGATTCAACAGCTAAAGAACCAAAAACAAGTCTAGAAATGAGTACACAATCAATTGAAAGTATGAAGAAAAAACAAAATTTTGTTTTTTTTTTCTTTTTTGAAAAAAAAAAAATTTTTGTTCGTTTTAGCGTTTGTTCAACATTTTGATAGTTCCTTTAATACTATGACTTATTTTCAAGAAAAACTTCAACATTTACTTGTATCTATAGCACGTTAGTATTTGAATTTCTTAGATAAAAACAATTAATAAAAAAAAATTATTTTCTAGAAGAACGAGATACATATCGAACACTTTATCTCAAGGAACATGATCGTCGTATAGCTGCTGAATTACGTCTTAAAGAGAATAACAATACTATTGCCTAGTCAATCAAAATCTCTCGTTGCTTTTCTTTCTTTTTTCTTGTTTCTAAATCCTTTCTGTGCCAGAATAAACTGTGATCTCTAATTCTCGAAACGAAAAACAAAACTGCCAATATCTGAACAAATCGTTTTTCTCTTTTGTCTTTTTCGAAGAAATCAAAGTCAACGTTTTTCTTTTTTTTTTTTGCAATATTTGTCTTTATTACATTTTCGTGTGTGCTTTGTTTTATAGCCGTGTTTTATTTCGTTTTTTTTTTGCTTTGTCTCAGTATGCCTCTTTTCTTTTTTATCCGTATACACTTTATTCACTTTTGTTGTGTTGTGTGTATTTGATTTTTTTCTTTTTGCCACAATGACATGTATTTGTATATCTTGTTCTAGTCAGTTTTTTTCGGATTTTAACAAAAAAAAAAAAAATGCACAGAAGAAAATGCGGAAATATTTATTTGCCATTAATGAAACAAATCTTTCTTATCTTGCCTCTATATGATATTTCAAAAGAAAAAGAGACTAGAAAAATAGAAGCTTAAGTATAATTAGAGAAAACTCTGTTGAAATTTATCGTTTAGTTAAAAATGCACTGAGTGAACGTAGTTGTGGACCATTTTAGAAAATATAAAATAATTTGTTAAAGAGAATAAGTGGCACAGAAAAGCATGTTTGTGAATACCATCTGGTGTTAAATAATGGCAAATGTTGATAAGCAGAATAGTATAACAGAAGAGAAACTGATGGCTTCATTATCAATGGTATGCTATCAGGAAAACTTATTTCTTCGATTTGAAATCCATCAAAAGCTGATTCTTCTAGAATTGATTTCAATAAATCGAATAAAAAATCGTATAGTTCTACTTGATATTAAATATCTTTTTTTCTTTTATACAAAATAGTCTTATTGGTTTTTTTTCATGTATGCAATTATTCATTTTATATGCATTTTTTTTTTGTAAAAAAAGCAACCAAATTAAAGAATCAGAATAACAAAAAAAATACAGATCCAAAGAAGAGTAAAATAAAAAGCGAAACAGATCTTTTTTCTAAAGCAAACCCAAATATAAGTAATTATTTATATTGAATATTGTCGTTCGTATTTTCATCAATATCCAATAGACTAGCTTTCTGTTCAATAGTTCTTGTATCGTTTCCAGTTCCATTGAAATCTGTTTTTGAATTTGGTAATAGAAGAGAAAACATTAATGCTATAGTTGCAAGAAAAGCACCAAAAAGAAATGGTGGACCAGGTATATCACGGCTGAACATCGATAAATAAATAGATTTTGTATTAGTATTAAACATTGTTAAATTTGAATTTGGTTTCGTTCCAGATACTGGTACTGTGTAACCTAAATCAACATTAAATAAATAAAAAGTAAATCCAAATAAAGCTGGACCAAGACCATTACATAAGCCACGTACACCATTCACCATACCTTGAACAAGACCTAAGTAAAAAGAAAAAAGAACAGAAGGAACAATTTTAAAATTTTAGTAAAAAAATGCAAAACTGTAAGAAAAACTTATGTTCTACCTTGTTGATTTTCTTTAGCATAAACAGAAACAAATGCACTAATTGATGGATATGTTACTGATGATAGAGCAGCTAAACCACCAGCAAACCACATTACCCTACAGTAACAATAAACTTCATGTATTTCAAAATAAATTTTCTTTATCTCACCAATTTGAAGTAGCAATTCCAAATGCTGCTAATTGAACTATTTGAAAAAATAATCCAACCATAATAGTCTCTTTTGCACCAAAATATTTTTGTAAACATGCCAATAGAAGAGTCTAAATTAATAAAAATTAATTAATAGATATGGACGATGGAACATTTAGAATCAAGCGGAGTAGACTCGATAATTCTTATCAGATCTCCATCGGGAAATTAATCCTTTACCCTCCACAGTGGGTTTTATAAGAGCGACTAATAAAATAATTTAATAAATAGAATATGATTCAGTCTAAGATGCAAATGGTGTGGTCTGATCTTCTAATTATTCATATTCTAACGTAGGCTCATTTAATTGGTTCAATGACCGACTGTATGGTAGAAAATGGGCATTGAACGACATACTAAGTTTCAACTTTTTTTTTTCTTTGATTACATTATTGAATGTGGATTCAAGCAATATCAATCTCATGTTATTGTAGCAATAGAAAAAAAGAAACAAGTAAATCGATAAAAATAAATGTCAAAAGAATACATGTGTTTTTGACACATCTTATTAAATAAATATCTATCTTGTTTTGAATCTTTGTATAATCTCTGAAGACATATAATTCGTAATAAATACTATTTTAACTTATTATGGGTTGATATTGAGAAAACATATTAATTTGGCTCTTGACTATTCTAAAGTTGCTAAATAATTACTTGATGATCGATTGTATGATTTAGTGTGAGTAATTCGCCAAGTTATTGTAAAGCTTTCAAAATATATTTAACTCACTAGTGAACTCATTCGTCGATTTATAGAACGCCAAAGTTCGAAAAATTCAATTTCAACTCTGGAAATTAGATTTTTCGTTTTACTCCACGGAAAAATAGAATCATAGTGAAGGAGCAACGTTCACAAATAAAAAAACGAAGTGCATTTTGAATTTGCTCACTTTGTTGAAAATATGTGTTAGACATGTAAGTTTATCTATTGAAGGCGACGAAAGCTTTCAGCAGTTTTTAATTTATCTAACTCTAGTTTTCGGTAGAGTTTTTCTTCACTTGTTACAAACAAGTAAGACCCAAAAAATGAGTTCGGACATACAGTGTGAGCTGAAATTATCTGTTACAAATGATTGGTCATTTTGACCTGCTTGAAAATATCTCAGACAAGTCAAAAACTATGAGTCATAAGTAGAATTTTATGCCATCTTGGAAAATGGACTTAGAAACATTATGTTTATTTTTGTTTGAGACCACTGAAGAAACTTTTTAAAAGTAAAAAAAAGCACCAAATTGAATAATGAACCAATAAGCTGTTTGTGGATTTCAATAAGTTCCTTTTCAAAGATGTCAAAAAATATTCGAGTCGGTTGTTTAATCAAGTGGACAATTCTTCACAAAAATTTTTATTGAACTAAGCTATGGCTTTCATCTAGAGAAACTAAAGGCCTTTTAGCAAAAGCTCCTTTCTATACAAAATGCCTTTTGATCAAAAAGTCGATTTTTCAAAAATAAAAATATGAGAAAAAAACGAAAATTCAAGTAATTTGTAAAAATACTCCGATAATACACTTTATAGGTTAGCTTTTTCTCAACAAGTTGATATTTTAATAAAGATGTCAATATTTACTTTTGACTTGTAATAATGAAGGTACAAAAATGTACGGGAAGATTTTCTGTTCGGACTTGTTTTTGGCCTTTCAAAGCGTCATTTGATTAGTCTCAAGAAAATTTCTAATCCTACATTCGAAAATAACACAAAATTCTGTTCATCAGTCATAACGTTTCAATTCTTGGCAACATTTTCAAACTATTCAAAAATAAAACAAACACTTTGTCTTAAAACTTTCGACTCATCCGTTAGATAAATAAAAAAAAAAAAGAAAATCGTTATTATTTACTTGAGCAATACATGAAAGAATTCCAATGAATGCAATAAAATAAGCTACTTCATCTTCTGTAAAGCCAAGCATCTATATAAAAAAAACATACACATATATTCAATGGAAATATTCATAAATAAATACCTACTAATCGTAAATAAACAAAAAAACATGAATACTGTCCAGCTTCTAGAAATAAAACAAAACTATAACAATTGATTTCATTTTGCAACAATTTTTTTACCAGGAAGATATGATAAAAGTACAATAAGACAAATAAGATAAATAAAACGATCATGAGTAATATTTCGAAGAGCCTAATTATATAAAAATCATTAATTTTAGAAATAGAAATAAAACTTTAAAACATACACCAAATGGATCAATTTTATTCCATGACACTTTTTGATTCGTTCGTAATCGTTCTGGTAATGATTCAGGTACACAAAAATAGATAAATAATAAATCTATTATGGTAACTATTATACCTAATAAATAAAAAGAAGAAAAAAAAAGATCTTTAATTAAAAATATATATCAAAAGAAAAAATGAAAAACAAACTGAGTGCAATAATAAAATTTTCACTATAAAGTCTTGTTAAATGTGCACCAATAGCTGGACTTGTTATTAATGATGCTGCAAATGTTGCTGTTACCAAACCTATAAGAAATGTCAATAACAATAATAAAAAGAGCATTAAATTTTATGTACCATAAGCAGTGCTTCGAGAACTTTCATCAGTAACATCGGCAACATATGCATAGACAACACTGAATGTTACAGAAAAAAGACCACTAATACTTATTAATGCAAAATACCACCTAAAATAATATCAATTATTTTCAATAAATATATATCCGATATCTAAAAAGTCAACGGAAAAAGTTTACGTTAATATCTCTTAAAGAATTGAATTTATATGATTTTTTTAAAAAACAATATTATGATAGATTCTTTAAAGTTTTGTTTTACATGATTTTAAATAAATGTCTGTATTTATAGGCATTAGAATAAAAATAGTTTTTGTTCCTATCATCTATCATAGTGAAGGAAAAAAATGCAAGTACAAATTGACATAGAAATGTCAGACGTCGATTCTATTAGAAATGCTTTTACGAAATAAGTATCGTAGTAAGTAGATTATAATCGGAGAGACCTTTCAAGGTTACAGAAAAGAAAATTGACAAAACCTATTATACTCATGAAAATGTGCTAATATCAAGTGTTTGGATCGTTGCAATAGTCTGCCGGCTTCATTTCACAAACAACAATAGGCTCAATTATGACTCTTACCTTATAGAGTAGTTACAAAAAAAAACTTATCCCTTTGTTTTTCAATATTCTTTCTGCTGTTTTAGAATTCTATTTTTAGTTGAATTTTTTCTTCAATAGATAAGACTAGAGAAAACTTATTTCATGAAAATACTTGTATTTTGAAAATATTTCAGTGTAACTAGAGAAAAACTATAAATTCATTTAATTCACTCGAAATTTTGTGCAGCTATAGACTAACGAGAGAATATTTCTAAGTCATCTGCTCCATATGTCCTCATATTTTATCAATATATAGAAAATCAATAGAGCAGTGTGACCTCCAAAAGTTTTCCATTCATGCTTAGATCTGATCGAGATAGCGACTTTTTTTAGTAGATTCCTCCTACAGAAGTCCAATTTTTGAAAAAAATCATGTGAAAACTTCGATCTGAAACATTGTATACATAAAGGTCTCGATTAGATTATCTCATATATAAAGTTTCATCAATGTTTGATATTGTCTTACTAAGATATGAATTTCTCAATATATTCCTCTTTTACACAACACTAGGAGAAAAGCATAGATATCTTGAAAAATCCATATCTCAGCAATACGATGTCCAAAACTGATAAAAGATATGCAAATGAGATAGTCTAATCGAGACCATTATGTATACAAAGTTTCAAATCGAAATTTTGAAATATAATTTTTTTTTTTCGAAAATTGAACTTTTGCAGGAAGAATTTATTAAAAAGTTCCTATCTTGATCAAAGCTGAGCATAAGTAGGAAGCTTTTAGAGATTAAGCTACTCTAGAAATCTCCTACATATTGAAAAAATATGAAAGCGAATGGGGCATATCATTGGGAAACATTTCCTCGTTGTTGTCTATATTCACTATAGACAACATTTCGATTTAAAAAGCATTGTTTTGCAAAGTATTTTAATTTTCATATGAGTATTTTAAATTAATGCTAATTACTGCTCCGTACTTCTCTACTATATCATATCTTGTTTTGGATTATGCAACTAAAACTTATCAATATTGTATACATATTGTTACAGTCGTTGAAATGTTTTATCTATATCGTATAATTGATCATAATTCAACTTAATTCAAGTGATGAAAGAATCGAATTAATAAGATACATCGTCTTATGAAAAAATACGCAATCTTGCAAGTTGTATAGATATTTTACTAATGAAGAGTAGAATCTTTTCAAAAGAAAGACACTTTTATTTTGTAGTTTCTGTCTCACTCACTCTATCTATTACAAAAAAAATCGATTCAAAAAATGAAAATGTGATGAGCTTAGAAATTGCATTATCTAAAGGGTTAATTCTTTTTGAACCATTCTGTCTAAAAACAAACGATTATATCATTCAAATCGAATATGTGATATTTACATAAACTTTATCTGGAGGACTTTTGCGACATTCTGCATTTATTTCTATGAACTTACATCGGACTAATTTTCATTAAAGGTATTGGACAACATGTGAAGAAAACAGTAAGAAGTAAAAAGAATTTACGTCCCCATACATCTGAATAGGCACCAAGTAATGGAGAACTTAGAAATGTTAATAAACCTCTAAAAGAAGTGAAAAATCATTAACTAAAATAAAAAGATCTAAAAATTTTCTCTTACTTAATTCCATGAATAACACCATTCATTAAAAAAGTATGAGATGGAAATGTTTGATTGAGTACCTTGAATAGAAAAAAATACATAAACAATGAAATTTTATGAACAAAAATTATGTCTTACTGAAATGATAGGATTAGTAAGAAGACCCCAGGCAAAAAATTCAAGAAATATAACAACAAGCCCATGATAAACACTCGGTTTACCACAACCATTAGGCTAAAAATGAAACTCAGTAATTTAAAAAAACAAAGAAAAAATATTTAATAAATATATACCTTTATTAGTTGATGTCGTTTATGTTCAAATTTAATACGTTTTGTTTCATCATTATCTGGATTCTGATCGACATCGGTGACAGAATCTGTCATTGCCGACGATGAAGTACGGCGTAATTGGCTTGATAATGTTATTGTCGCCAGAGATTTGTTCAATCATGTACAATTATATAAATGAATGACATAACAATAAGCAAACCAACAGAAAATTAACACGTTTATATATATATATATGTAGCAATGTATTAGTATATATAAAACGAAAAAAAATCGATAAACATTAAAATAATTTATTCACTTTCATATGAAAGTATACTGTATATAAATATTTTTAAAAAATGAAAAAAAACTTTTTAACTTATGATTAATACTTTGAATAAAATGATGATAAGTTTAAATAATATATTATTATGAAATTTAGTCACATCGAACGAGAAAAAACTGAATAATATCTGTTTATTTCTAACTTTTGCTTGTTTTTTATGCGTATTATATTGAATCTCCTATGATTTCTTTTCTTTTTTAAAAATAACGAGTACACATACGTCGTGATCCAATACTCAATCAAGCAGATCAAATAGTTTATAGTTTAAATGTATCATAATAGGCCATGAATATGTAATATGTATATCAATTGATGTGTAGACAGAATGGGATGAGAAAATATGTAAATAGCTTACGTCAAGCGAGCTTACAAGAGACTCCTTTTATATATGAGTCATTAAATTCTTCTCCTTCATTTCTTACATTCTTATTGGAGAAATAAATTGACCTTTCATTATATTTTATAGAGAATATTTTAAAATAATATAAAATTAAATTTAATATAATATTTTTATTAATGAATGAGGAAAAAATGATGTCTCTTAATAAAATTAATCAAAAGAAGTTCATTTCTTTTTGTTCCTTTTTCTTTTGCTTGTTTTCTAAACGGTTTGACATTCAACCAGTCAGATATAAGAAATGAATCATCAATATCAAGTCTCTCAGTCCATAATGTTCTATTAATCCACTGTAATCTCTTTAAAATGCAATTTCATTACATAGCTCGTTTAGCTTCAACACAAAATTTTAATACAATTCAACGGACATTATCAAGACAAACATTACCTGGTCTTCGAAAATTAATACGATCTGGTATAGAAAACAAACATTTTCTACAAATTCAAGTTGAAAAATTCTTTCATTTTAAGATTCTTTACAAACGACAAAACCTCTTTATTCATCATATATATATCGTTATGCATCAACAAATTCATCGAATAATGAACACAATCGAAATGAAGAGAAAAAAAATAATATGACAAATTTAATGTATATTGTTGGTGGTTTAACAGGTGTTGTTGCAATTTATTCCATTGTATGTATTTTAATTTGACTTTTTTTTTTGTTATGAAAAGAATAAATAAAGAATTTTTGTTAGTTTAAAAATCGAAAAAGTTCAAAAGGAAAAAAACAAGCCATTGGAGAATATGATGAAAAACATGGACAATCTCAAGATTCTAATAATAAAAATGATGATTCAAATAAAACACTTGTTGAAAAAGTTCATGATTTATCAGAACAAAAATTAATCGGTTTTCTTCTTAGAAAACAATGTCGTTTGTCATTTGTTTTTTTTTTGTCAATATTCTAGCTGAAGAACAAGATCCAGATAAAATAATAGAAATGAATAAAAATGATCTAACACCAAATATTCCACATTTTGCTCAATATTTAATTATTGGCGGCGGTGCAACAGCTATGAGTGCATTTAAATCTATACGTGCACATGATCCAACTGCAAAAGTTTGTTTTAATATTTTATTGATTGATGCATTTTTTGTTTTTTGTTATTATATTTTATTTCGTTAGGTTCTTGTTATTAGTTCAGAAAAATATTTACCATATATGCGTCCTCCATTATCAAAAGATATTTGGTATACTGATGATGATGAACTCATACAGAAACATTCATTTAAACAATGGAATGGAAAAGAGAAAAGGTTTCTGTTAATATTTTATTTTTTGATTATTAAAATATTAGATTATTTTAGTTTATATTTTAATAATGAAGAATTTTATACAGATGTTAAAACTCTTAATGATCAAGAAGATGGTGGTGTTGCAGTTGTCCTTGGAAGAAAAGTAGGCATTTTTAAATTAAAAATTTGGTTTTTTTTTGTTTATGATATAAATAAAATAGGTTATTAGTCTTGATTTGAAAAATTCTGTGGCAAAATTAGATAATGGTTGGGATATATCATTTGAAAAGTGTTTAATTGCTACAGGTGGTCAACCAAAAAGCTTAAAAATATTTAAAACAGCATCAAGTTATTTGAAAAGTAAATTGACACTTTATAGAGGAGTAAGTTCAAAGTTTCTCATAACTTTTATTTCTTCCTTTCGCATGTTCTATACATGAATAGACTCAATGCTCTTTATCGATAGTTGTTTTTTTGCTCTTTTTTTTTCTTCTTTCGTTTTTACACATTCTACTCATGCCCCTTTTTTTCATCATTAATGGTCTCCTTCATTTTTTTCTGCAGTACAAATATAACATATAAAAGAGTAGAAGAAAAAGGAAAAAAAACCCTATGCATTCATCGATCACTTTGCGAACATTCATCTATAGAATATAGATAAATATATACAAACGAATAGAAGATGCCGTGCTTTATGTATGTCGATTACAAATAGTGTTGCTTGTTCTCTAGTGTTTTTTGTTCTATTTGGCGAGCCACAACAAATAAATCAAAAACTACCCGAAAAATTTAATCATGTTAAATGATGAAAGATTAAATCGAATTGAATATCGTAGTGAACACGTATTGGATGATCATACAACAATATTTTCATCACAAAAACCATTTTTATCTAATACTGAAAATATCTTTCATAATACATCAACAAATATGAATCTTAGTAATAATATTGTTGAAGATCTTGATTTTTATTTAACTAATAATAATGATCATCATTCTGATAGTAGTCACACATCATCACCATTATCTCAGCAACAAAATCTACAATTTTATTTTATATTAAATGCATTACCATCATCAACATCAAGAATAAATGAAGAAACAACCACTTATTTAAATCAAGACCAACCATATGAAATAATATTTCAAATCAGAAAAAATAAAACCGAAAATCTTACGAGATCATCATCTATGGATGGTTCATTGCCAACAACTTATCGTTCCATATTACGTTTATGTTTTTGGGACAAAATATTACAAAATCAAGAATATGAATTAATGCAAAAATGGTTAAATGAATATCAATCATCATCGTTATTTGATATTGATATGAATCTGACATATGGAGTTTTATCCATAATACGTTCAAAACAAATACCAAATGCTATTGAAATAGTGTGGGATACATCGACAACAACCTCATTATTTATACGTTTTAAATGTACATCAACTGATTTTGCACAAAAACGGCATGGTGGAGAAAAAGGTATACCATTACGTATACAAATCGATACATATGAAAATGATGTTGATGATATAAGACATTTATATTCATGTTGTTGTAAAATTCAATTATTTCGTTTAAAAGGTGCACAAAGAAAAAATAAAGCAGATAAAATGAGAATTGAAAAATTAAATCTTGATCAACGTCGACAATATCAAACAACACTTGAATATACTATATTACAACAATGTTCAATTTCATCACTTTATACACTTAATCTTCTTAGTCTTTCTTATCCACCTGATGATTTATTTGATGTTTGTACAACACCAATTGTTCAAGAAAATTTATTAATAAAAAATAAAGAATGTGATGATTTAGAAAATAACGATCAGAAACTTATTCGAAATAATAGTATTGAAAGTTCATCATCAGTGTTATCGTTATCTTTGTCAAATATAAAATATAATTCTACAGAATTTCATAATATCCAATCAAGAACAGAAACAAAAATTACCATACGATCATCAAGTGAAGAAGTATTAAATTGGTTAAATAATAATAACTTTTCTTCTGTGGTAAATCGTTTTCAACATTATAAAGGTATTGATATTCTTCGATTATCTAAAATTGATATTCATCAAATATGTAATGGTGATGATGCGATCAGTATTCGTCTTTACAATCAATTGAATGACACTCTCATTCAACCATTGAAAACTCTTTACATCACATTGACAAATAATGATATATATTCAACTATTTATTTACATACATTAACCCGTCGTGAATTACTAGAAAAAACTTTTGAACTAATTCAACAACCACAACAAGAAATATTTAGTATAACACTTGAATTAAATAAAATTAAAATTCGAGTAGATAACGATAATGTTGTTAAATATTCTTTGCCGAATGAAGGTCGATTTTATTTAAAAACATATCCTTATGAGTTTAATCTTTGTTTATTAAGTAATTCTATTTAGTTAAATTACTTTTTTTTCTTTTTCTTTCCTTTTTTTCTTATACTTCTTACTAGTCAAAAAACAAAATATATATAGTGATACTATTCTATGTTTTTGTTTTTACATAGATCGATGACTTTTTTACATTAAAAAAAATTGTGGATAGTGGTGCTGATGTAGCAATTGTTGGCGGAGGTTTTCTTGGTAGTGAATTGGCATGTGCTTTAGCATATCGATCAAAAGAAAATAGTAAAAATGGAAAACCAAGTGGAAAAGTTACTCAATTAATGCCTGAAGCAGGTAAAAAAGCAAACAGTTATGATTTAGAGTGGTCAAGTAAAATAGATGACATGGTCAGTATTTTATTAGAAAATGATCAGTTTATTATATTTAATTCACAGTAAAACAAGATATCTTATACTAGTAAAAACCTCATATTGGCTCAGTGAAAAATATAGATTTTATCAAAAGAAATTTTTTTTATCCATATAAAATAGGACGTGAATTTGAATGTGAGCTCGAATGGGTTTTCATTTCATCCATACATAAACACCCTTATGGCCGTCATGTGTAGCTTTAGTTTCATATATAGAAACTTTTTTCACTGTCTGTATCAGAGTTCCGTATGGGATGGGATATTTCTCATACACTTTTCTTCCTATGGGACGCTTCCAAAAGTGTTGCATCCTATTGGACGCGATGAAATACCGTTGTTCTACTCCATGGAGAGCCCTGGTCTGCATGATATAACAGATAAATACTTGCTCTACATACGTGAAGAACGATGATATTTTGCTTTGATGCATCTGTAATAAACTATTTTCAGTTCCTATAATGTTTTGATCATTCATTTTTCATTGATGCTTCTGATCCATTCATGTTATCAAATATTGCTTCATTGATCCAAAATCTTGATCTCGTTTTTTCGCAAGATCTTTCAGTTTCATTTATTTAATCAATTTCTTCTACAACTTCTTCATCTGATATACCACTTTCATATTGAACAACTTGTACCACGCTTATCTTTTTTTTTGCTTGTGGATTCTTAGCTCAAGTCGAAGATCAGGACAAAAGCATAGTACCTACATGTATGTCATATATAACATCTGTATTACACGGTGCAACTCTAGTAAATTTACAGACTTTCAGGATTCCATGTATCAAATCAGTAATCAATAAGGTCAATTTTTAGGTACTCAGTTATCTTTCTGTCACAAGATCTTAGTTGGGCATCCTGCTTAGAATTATCTCAGTACACAGGTACTTATCAGGTAACTGTTTAGGTAAGAGTCTCGTTTCTATAGCATTCTATGAAAAAGTTTTCAACGAGTTAGTATATTAAACATTTAGAAATATTTTGTAGTCAAGTGCTAAAAACTCACAAACTACCCAAAGATTTCTGTGACATATTTGTAGCAGGATACTCAAATAAAAGAAAAAAAGGAAATCACACTATAATGCATTTCAATTTTTATATTTCACCCTTGATTTGATTAACTGTTTGTAAGTTTTATTTACTGACCTGTTATAATTATTTAACTTACTGATCAAATATTTTGTTCCCAAAAAAAAAAAAACATTAATTTTATATATCTTAATCTGTTTTTTTTTAATTAGGTAGTATCAGTAAAGTATTACCAGAATATTTAAGTAAATGGGCATCGGAACGTGTTCGAGGAGGTATTATTGTTGATATATATATTTATAATATTTATAATATTTAGTATTTGATTTGAATAGAAGGTGCAGAAGTACTAACAAATGTTCAACTTGTTGGTACATCAGTTCAAGAAGGAAAAGTTAATCTATCATATATTGATCCAAAAGAACCAAAGAAAACAAGTTATGTGACTGCTGATCATGTTGTGGTTGCCGTTGGTATTGAACCAAATACAGATTTAGCAAAATCAGCTGATTTAGAAATTGATCCTAATCATGGAGGTTTTCTTGTTAATGCTGAATTACAAGCACGTCATAATATTTGGGTTGCTGGTGATGCAGCATCATTTTATGATATTAAATTAGGTCGACGTCGTGTTGAACATTATGATCATGCAATTGTTAGTGGTAAATTAGCCGGAGAAAATATGGCAGGTGCTCATAAACCTTATTGGCATCAATCAATGTTTTGGTCAGATTTGGGGCCAAATATTGGTTTTGAAGCTATTGGTTTAACTGATTCAGCATTACAAACTGTTGCTGTTTATGCTAAAGGTAAACCAGATGATGAAATACAAAAAGAAGATAGTGAAGGAAACCGAGAACAACAAGACATACTACCAACATCAAACGCTAGTGCATTAAAACATAAAATACCAGAAACAGCAGCAACATCAGCAGACAATAAAGATGATTATAATAAAGGTGTTGTCTTTTATTTAAAAGAAAACAAAGTTGTTGGTATTGTTCTTTGGAATATTTTTAATCGAATTCCAATTGCACGAAAGGTAGAAATAAATCTATTATATTAATATCTAAAAATATTGTTTTTTGTTTTTATATAGATTATCAAAGATCAAGAAGTGATTACTAATTTTCAAGAACTTGCAAAACTTTTTAATATTCATCAAGATTAGTTCATTGTGATTTATCTTGCTATTTCTTTTTTTCTCTTTTTTTTTCCATATAGACATGCAAGTAACTTTTTATAACCTCTTTATCTTTTTCATAGGTTTTTTTTGTTAACGTTTTGCTATGTTATATTTTACAGTAGCTTTTGTTTATGTTAAGGTTGAGATAAAATTTTTGTGATTTTTTAGAAAAGGAAAGCTAGGCGCGCTGTATGACATAATATAATTCCTCGATAGATTAATATTTCATTTTCATTACAATAATCTTCAACTTGACGACTATCTAATGATGGTCGATTTGATTCTCTCATATGACAATAAAAATGAAAATAAGAAAACTTAGTATCATTGGGTTACGTACAATAAAGACAAGTAATGAAAATCTTGTTTCGTATTTTGCATATAAAAATAATATTTCAAATGACTAATCAATGAAGTAATTGTTGATGTTTTTGTATATTCACTTTGACAAATATTCTTAGATGAACAAAATAAATTTTCACACTAACACGACATGTTTATTCACTAGAATGATAGATTTATGCTAGCATTGAAAGACGGAATGTTTGTATAATATTGGATTTATTTTTTGATTTTGATAACGTATAATTAATAGATATACGATACATAAAAATGATCACTTGCAAAAAGATACAAAAACAGAAACGTTTTTCTCAATATAATTAATACTAAAGCGTTTCCGATCCTATCGACTCTTCATAAAAAAATAACTTTCTATCATGTCAGCATTTTTGAGTAAAATATAAACCTGATCAATATATTAATAGTAATATGTGTGCTGAATTTTGCAAATGTAAATATGAAGTACATATTGCTACTTGAATCGAGTATATTATGAGAAAGACTGCTTTAAATGATCGCATTCATATCCACTGTTATGTCTGCTTGATTTACAACCATTGTACCATTTGATAGTTCTTGCATCCATTTTTTAAATTTTTTTCGTTTAAATAATCGATAATATAGAGTATATAATAAACCCACACTTGTAAATGTCAAATGTATGTTATCGTTTTTAATAAATGATTCATATTATCGATAATATATAGTTCTAGTCAAGAAGAAAAAGGTAAGACACTTCAGGAATCCATACCTCATGTATACGTCACTCTAATTCATTTTCTCTTCAAATTCAAGAGCAACACCATATGAATGACAACAAAATTGAAAATATTTACAGTTTGGTGTGTGACAGTTCGCAGCTCAATCACTCGTAAGAGTGGAATCAAACTATCGATGCCAAGCTCTTTTTGTGTGAGATGAGTTATTCAATGCTTGATTTATTTTATCGAATTCTTTTTATGAGTGCTCTATTTTCGGCCATGTAACCTAAGTTATACACATGAAATGCAATGAAACAATCACAAAATATATTGAAAAGGATGGAATCAGATTTTCAAAAATCTCAGATGATCAATATAAATCCGTTACAAACATATTCGCTGAATATATTATTTGATCATTTGAACAGCTTTGTAAATCTTTTCTTTGACATATGCCAGAATCTTCTATATTACAATTATGATCCCTTTTCTTTACTATTCTTGTCATCATACAAAAAAAAACAGTAAAGTTAGTTAGAAGATGGATTTGTTTTGTTACAATGATGAATACGACTACTTGTCCATTGAATTCATTAATTGTATTTTAGATTATCTTGATAATTCGAAAGATCTTCCGTTCATTAGATAGTTTAAGCCGTTCAAGGGTAAACACGCGAGAAGTCACCCTTTTCCCTTGTTGATGTTGTTGTACTTCGACTTTCACCTTTTTCTATATCAAGAATGAAATCTTACATGGAAAGAAATTACTGTTATCAATAATTTTATTAAAAACAATACAACTTCATATTTTGAACTCAAAAACCGATCGTTCTCCTGTTTAGTTCAGTAATCTTTAAACCAAAGAGCGCTACAGAAAAATAATATTATTTAATTTGCTTGTTTAGAAATAAGTATTTTATTGGGAATTTCTACAGTGATTTATTTCGTTTCAAAATGAGACGGAATTTCAATAGTTTTAGAGGAAAAAAAAAAAGAAAAGCTTGATTATGTATAACGTCATTTAATTTTTTCATTAATTAATTTTTCACTTTCATTCCAACATTCTTCAGCTCGATGATTATCTAATGCTAATTGACTTGGTTTTCTCACTTGGCAGTTTGAATGAAAATGACCAGGTTTGGCCTTATCAGATAATGCACAATAAAGAGAAGTCATAGAGCCTTGTTCTACTGTTTTGCCCATTATAGAAACTAATTGAAGAATGATTCGTTCTAGAAAAGATCTATATTGATTAAAATTTGAGTTTATAATTGTACCAGGATGTAACGAATAAGCTTTAATGCCATAACGACGTGTTAATTCACTAGCATGATAGATTTGTGCTAATTTTGATATTGCATATGCTTCGAAACTATTATATTTGTTTTTTAATTTTGAAAATTTATAATCAATGCCTGTTGATGGAGCCATATGATGAGCTAAACTACTAACATTGATAACACGACCATTAGTAAGTAGAGATAATAAAAGTTGAGTCAAATAAAAATGACCAACTAAAAAAGAAAAAACAAGAATAAAGATGAATATTTCTATTCAACAAAAATAGACATATTTTACTAACTGTGATTTGTACCAAACTGTGTTTCAATTCCATCAGCTGTTACTGAATATGTGGTTTGTATAGCACCAGCATTATTTAGTAAGATATCAACACATTCAATTTTCTCAGCAAATTTTTTCACATTTGCTAAACTTGATAAATCAAGATCATATCCAATAACTGTTCCACCACCTGATTCTTCACATAATTCTTTTGCTATTCGTTCTGCACGTTCTTGCCCTCGAATACCAATAATAACACGAGCACCAAGTTTTGCAAATCGAAGTGCACAAACACGACCAATACCTGTTGCTGCACCAGTAACAATAACTGTTTTATTACGAATATTCTTCGTTGGCAAATAATAACGACCGGCAGCTAAACTATGATTAATTAAAAAGACAATAATAATATAAAAGCATGACCAAAATGTTGTTAATGGCCATGAATGAATAACAAGACGAATAATAATCGAACCAATTAAATTAGCAATTAGAAAAAGAGTTGAATGAATTTCAGGTTCAAAAAGTATCGGATGCAGTTTCATATTATTGTTAATGTTAACAAATAAATTGTGTATATATTCTCTAAATAGAGGTGTACTTTATCTTCTATTCGTTTGCTTTACTCATAAGTAATAACAATCGTCTCTGTCTTATCAAAAAACTTTATTTTGTCATGAAATGTGCTTTTCTTTTACTAAATAGCAACCTGTAGTTGATATGTAACAAAAAAAAATAGTAGTATCGAAATAATTTCTGTACTAAATTTTTCTCTGTATTAACTCTTGATAAATATTCCATAACTTCTAAACCTATCTAAAAAAAACTAAATAACATGAAGCAAAAAAAAAAACGCATGTATCTATTTTATTCAAATAAAAAAAGAAAATTCATATTTAACATAATCTAGGAAGTATAATGAATTTTATTACTTAATTTTATACAAATACACCTTTTCAATATCATCAAAAAAAAAAACTGTTGAGAATACAATTGAAAGACAAATTTTTGCTTTCACAAATCTTCTTTAAATATAATATGTCAAAATGAAACACAAAATAATTTTATTATTTGATTATTAAAATATAAATATTCATGCTTTAATGTTGATACACATTTTGGTACTTAGTAAATAAGTTTATGTCCATAACTAGTACGATAATATGAAATCATATCAATATTTAAAGGAAATAATTCTTTGTTGAGTATATGACGAGTACGAGCATGCATACCAGTTTGTAATAATTGTTTTGAAAGTATATATGGTACTGCTAAATCATCATCTGTATTTATCAATATACATACATAATTAACATTTGATAAATAATCAGACCTATCAAATAAAAGATTATTCATCCACCATGTTTCTTTTTCAGTTAAACAATATTATCAGATTTAAGAACGAAAAAACTAAATAAGTAATGGTTTTTTTTCTATAAACATAACTTCGAAAAAAAAAGAAAAATATTTATTTACTGCAGAAAACCAATAAGTTAAAAGAGATTGATGAACATTAATAAATTGAGCTTCCATCAAATGTTCACTAGACTTTTATCTAAAGAGAATAGATATTCGAATCAAATATTAAAGAATATTTAAAAAAAAACTGTTAGCGCAATCTCTGCAGAATTAAAATGTGAAACACGATCGAGATGCTGCTCTTCTAAAAGAGGGCGATACGAGCAAGCGCCATGGAATTTCATTTTGCTATATTGTAATATCTAGCTCTCGTCAATGGCAGAAGCAACTCATATGGCACATTTGTTCACATAGCTACTGGTATACCGCGTTACTCGTAAGTTCAGACGTATACAACCTTATCAAAATGCATAGAAAATGATTCACTTCTATCAGTTTAACAGGTGTTAAAAATATTCATTCGTTTTCATACAATAGACCATAACATAGCACTTCCAAAAAAAATGGCCGGTACAGCGGACATTATACCGATCAGGATATCAACGGTAATTTCTCTATAGTTATTACATGGAAAATTCTTTGAAACTTTTATTATAGGTAAAGAATATTTAAATCTACTATCAGTAAAAATTTCATGGATTTTCATTTAGCTCAAGCTCAGCTATTCAGAAAACATCAGCTGTTATGAAATTTTCTATCACTATACTACAACACTCCTGTCAAGGTATTTTTAACAAAAAAAATCATACATTCATCAGTGGATAATTGCGCTGCTAATTGACAAGCAATAGCTTAACCGAGTGAATGATCCCATAAATAAATTTTTCGTTGACGATTAGTTAATGTATGTAACCAGTAATAAATGAATCGAACATCTATTTCTGTTGGTTCACCAGTAGAATTTTCAAAACCACGATAATCAAATATAATAACATGATATTTTAATTCATCACATAATTTTTTACATATGTCACAACAATTTTTTAATGAATTAAGTAAGGAAAATATTTAGAGAAATAAAATGTATGCATTCCAGTGTCACTGCAGGTCAATGCATTGACCTAGACATGCACATGCAGGATTATGATTAACGACGGTGATCTTAGATTCATTTTGATTTTTTCAGTCGATGCATGTTTATTTCACGAAAATGGTTTGATTGGATCAAACTGGATCAATCTTTTATCGAACAAGAATTTCGAAAACGCTCTTATTGATTCAAATTTATGAAACCCAAAAACCTTTAATCGTTTTTTTTTCCATAAAATGCAGCTATTTTCTTGAAATGATCTTCACGACTGAAAAAAATCGAAATCAATCAAAAACAACCATAGTTTTATCATGTACTTTTAGTCTTCATCGTTAGTTTATGCGTACATGTTTACCTAGTACAAAGCAGTGAGTAAGACCGATGCACAGTCAATGTTGCATCCCTACTGAAAAGTCAAACATAATAGTTTTCAGGTCCCAAAAGATTATGTGTACAATGTTAAAGGGAACAAAGTTCTCAATATAATGAGGGTTCAATGGGTTTTCTATAACGTTCTCTTAAAAACTTAAAAGTATTACAAAGCGAAATTTATCATAGCACTGCAAAAAAAGTATATTTTTTGTGTTTTGTGATGCTTATATCTTTTTAAAGAAAGGTCGTAAGAAATGTAGCAATCCCTCACTTTGTCCAAGTTGTCGTGATTTTCAGGATGGTAGTGTTAAAGATTAATTTTTTACATAATCTTCTTGGATCTGAAAACTACTCCGTTTTATTTTTCAGAAACGTTCAATTGATAATCCATTTATGAAATCTCGATATGAAGCGCATTTGATAGAGACTTTATTGACTACTCAAACCATTATCTAAATTCGAGCTATATGCTTAGAATCGTAGAAAACAAAAAAATTCGTTTGGCTTAAATCTTTGATCAATACTGTATATAAAGTTAATATTGGTAAATATATAAGACTAACTTACTCAAATTCATAAAAACAATATGTTTAACAATAGTTGAAAACATAAGAAGAATAGTTGGAGTAATAATTGGTACAAAGATATAGAAACTCACGAAGGTAATTCTTAGTTTAATCATTATTGAACTATTCGAAAATATAATATCATAACTATTTTATTTAGAATAATCTTCATTTACTTACACAACTTTTCACTATTGACAACACACGTCAAGAGTTAGTTCTTATTAAAAAATTGTTTTATTTAATTAAAAAAAAAATAAAATTTATTTCCATCTGCAAAAAAAAAAAATATTCATTTAAATCTATGAAAATTACATAAAACAAGAAACACGAGAAATTATTGACTATAAAAAATAAAATAGGTGTCTCAATGATTGATATATCACTTGCAAAAAGAAAAATATCATTAAAAAAAATATATTAGTCACCGAAGAATTTGATTTATGCAGGAGGTGCATGTTTAAGGAATGCAAAATCACTAAAAATAAATAAATCAATTGAAAAAGAACGATGAATTCATTAATTTTACCTGACAATTTCTTCAAATTTTGGATATGAATAAATATGATTATGACCACAACGTGCTGAACGTGGAACTGTAATAAAACGTATTGGAGGTAAATTATGATCACGATGTTCTTTTACATAATCTTGAATCTAAAATTAATATTTAAATAAATAAATCTCAAAATTATGATTAACTGACTAATTCTAAATGAAAATATGGAATAATAACATCATCTTCAGCATGTATTACAACAATTGGTAATGGAAGTAATGAAATACTAAAATTAATTCAAACACTATTATTAAGTTGAAAATTTTATATTTTTTTACATTTCATTATTTGGAAAATCGAGTTCTACTGTTGTAAAAGAATCAAGTGCTGCTTGCATAAAATATGGATTAATTCTTAATATCTATAAACCAATATGATTGCTAAAAAAAAAATAAATAAAAAATAGACATACTCGTGTAACTGGATATGAAACAAATGCTTGCATTGTATTGTAAAATGGTGCTTCAAGTACAAGACCTGATGGTCTTTTATAATCTATAATATTTAAAAAAGAAAATATATATATATAATTCTCAAATGAACTTATATCTATATACCAGTCTGGTTTTTAAATAAGTAATACATTGTCCATGATGCAACACCGGTACCCATTGAATGTCCCCATATTGTAATTGGATTATCTGGACATACTTGTCGAATTACTTTATATACATGTAATACGTCATGAATAACACCATATACACTTGGTATACCAGTTGAATCACCGTAACCACGATAATCAAGTGCAATTATATGATTACCAAAATTAGTCATCATTCGATAATGATTTGCTCGATAATGTGTTGCTCTAAAATATTTATTGTATATATTGTTATAATTTTTTGCTTATTATTATATACCTTGTTCCATCTTGTCCATGTAAATACATAATAATAGGTTGATCAGTAGATTTTATATATGCTTTTAGATGATCAGCAAGTGTTGGTAACCTATGATTAACTTCAACTGTTGATGGTAGAACATACCTGAAATGAAAAACAAATTAAAAAGTTTTTAAAATTAGTTCCATGGAATAGTTATCAATTATTATACAGTAAAATCTCTTCGCAATAAGTTCTTCCTTATTTTAAGAAGCCTATAATTTGCCAAAGCGACGTTTGCTAGAAATGAATCTTCTTATTCTGCGCATTGGGTTTTTATTTCAGTTGCCATAAGCCAGAGATGTCCATCGCGGCTGAAAATCTGCCGCTGCCGCGCCGCGGCCTTAGAAAAAAAAGCTGCCGCACCGCTGCCGCGCCGCGACGGTTTATAAAAAAATGTTGCTGCGACGCTGCCGCACCGCGATGACTTATAAAAGAAACGCTGCCGCGCCGCTGCCGCGATGAATTATAAAACAAACGTGCCGCCACCGCGCCGCTGCCGCGACGGTTTTCAAAAGTGTTTCTAATTTCACTGCTGTGACTATATTTGACCAGAGATATGGGTACTAGTCCATCAGATTTATTCAATATCAGGGCGTTTCATTTGTAAATCCTAAAATTCTATTAAATTCATACAGTTTTTCAATGTTCTCTAAAAAAACCCTGCCGCTGCCGCGCCGCTGCCGCGATGGTTTTTTAAAAAACCTGCCGCTACCGCGCCGCTGCCGCGATGACTTTTTAAAAAAATCTGCCGCTACCGCGCCGCTGCCGCGGTAATTTTTTAAAAAAACCTGCCGCTGCCGCGATGGACATCTCTGCCATAAGCAATAACAGCCTCTGTATTATGAACAGCATATGTTCTATCACTTACATGTAAAAAGAAAAAAGAATGATAATATATATATTGGGTTATGATAAACAAATATTGGGATGTATAGGAGAATAGGATGGACTAGCCTTGGATATTTAAAAGAAGTAAAACGATATTAGTAATAGTAATAGTGCTTTGTGTAACACTTCTGCAGTTTTGTGTTAATAATTAGTAACATCAAATTGTGTCAGCACGAATTAATTTACCTTTGATTAAAAAAATTGAATTAATAAATTGTCGGGAAGAGAGAGATGATTCTGCACAGTCTGAAAATGGTTGCAGCTGAATTTTTATAGTTTACAAAAATGAAAATGCAAACTTCCTTGTGATAATCAACTTCATAAAGTGAGCGCTTCGGGTTGATCTCGATAGTGTTCATATTAAAGAGATTTTACTATAGTATAAAGAGAAGATCAATTATGACGTTTGCTGATATCTAAGATTTTCATATTAGGGATCTGTGTGAACACGGTTTTTTGAGTCACATTTGGCTACAATTCATTTAAAAGTTACAACATTTTGACAAACGTTTTCTACAAACCTTCGATTTATGCAAAGACTTTGTTCTTTATCATAGTCATGATCACAAGAGACTTGATTACAGTCATTCGTGATCAATCTACTGATCTTTACTCTATACATAGACGAATCACATAAGTATCATTAGTTTTATCTTTCTCAATAAAATTAATGCTAGTCTTTATATTTGTAGGAATGAATAATAAGAAAAGATTTATTTCATATGGCTCTATGATGTTTTCTAGATAAATCTCATTACATTACATGTTTTTTTTTTCTCGAAATTCTCGATAAATGCAATACACTAGTAATGTCAAAACAAAAACTGAGTTTTCAATTACTGAAGACCTTTTTCGATCTTGATCCATGTGCATTTGTGTAAAAATCGTCAAGTACATCGACTTATAAACAATGAGTGAAGTGCCAACACGAAAAGTTACAATGATAATGCGTTTTACAAACCGCTATAATACGTGCCCAACGCTTTTTTTACGTCAACTTATGCATAAAGCACAAATAATATCATCTGAACTATTTAAACATTACACTTTCTCAAAGACAACGCCTATATAACTGCGAATGCACAACGAAGAAACTCCTTCTATCAATGCTCTACTTCGTGTGAGACCGAACAATTATATTCGAAGATGAATTAATGGAGATGATTATGAGCGACAATACAAATACTATTTAGATCATCTATCCAATTTGCTTTCAAAAATAATTATTACATTATACGATAGTCTTTTTGTCTCAAATTCAGGTTGAAATTTTGATGTTCTTTTGCTTCTTTGTAATTTTTAATGCAAGAAGCAATACTATATATTATAGCTATGGTCATATTGAAGACGAAACTCGCGACAATAAGTATCATTTAAAAAGACACAATATTATCTTATCTAGACTTTTTTTACATCACTGTAATGTATTTTTTTCATGTGAATATGTATGAATTGTAGCTATTGTTTGCTAATAGTCGTTCAATTAATTATTCTTATTCAAGTAATTTAAAAAGAAATGAAAATTAATTTTCAAATTGAATTTTCACTTGTGATAGTGTTGAATATTTATGTGCAATATGTGAAATGGTCAAACAAAGAAGTATACTTACTCATAGCACCGGAAGCAGTTTATTAATGATGATCCTTTGTTTAAATTAATTGATACTTCATTTTAAGAATGCAAAAAATTACAAAGAAGTCGACAAAAAAAGATGATGAAACTGTTGACATCAATATAGAAGATGATAACATTGAATAACTTTCTTTAAACATAAATCTCGAGAACAACACTTCGGGACTTGTTGATAGAGTGTTTCATAATTATTAAAGATGTTACTTTTCTGTATAAATTCGTTGTGATCTATGTGAAATATATAAGTTTCAAAAACTTATGTTACACTTCTTTTGCACACATTTTCTTTCAATCTTTTCATAGATTCACTCCCATGATCTATTAGTACTATCATACCATTATGTAGACTATTGTTTCCTCTATCAAACATCCGAACATGATGGTCAAATAACAAAAAGTCGTTTTCAGGAGGAGAAATGATTAAAAAAAAAATTCTTCAATCTAAATTTGAGACAAATGCACTATAATCGCTTTGTGTGTAATTTTAACTAATTTCTAAACACTAAAACTCAATAACTGAATAAATTAATTAAAAGTTTTCAATTATTAAATCCAATATTCAGGTTTGAAATATATATTGGATACCAAAATTATTTAGCAAGTTTTATTTTCAATTCTTTACCACTGATATAAGCGTTAAACAAAGTCTAAACAATGATTCGAATAGACAAAAATTATTTTCAAAAGATAAAGAAGTAAAAATGATTGTCGAGCACCTAAAGACAACGACTTTATAAAACCAAAAGACTAACCTTTCTGCACCTATAATAGATAAATATAAATTTATGTCGATTAAATAGAACGATAGAGTAAACTATCTTCCACAAAATGAGGTACCTGTGATGGTCTCTTTCCAATTTACTATAGAACAATCATTATTTTGCCTGTATCGCTGTCAAAAAACACTGCAGAAAACTTGGCAATATTTTACTTTGTAGAGAATGGCTTACTCTATCGTTCTATATAGTCTTTAAAAAATTATATTTACGCCCTCTAGAGATTAAAAAACTAGTTTTGGAGTTTTCTAGAGTCCCTATCTTTCAGAAATTGATGATAATTTTTATTTCCTTATATTCTTGTTGAAAACCATTTTCTCTATTCAAATCACTCTTTGGATTCTCTCTAATGCTTACAGCAACAACAACTGAAAATAAACCTTGTTGAATAATTTTGATATTTCGTAAATATTTCTTACAAAATCTGATAAAATATTCAAGTTTCTAAAGACATTTTCTTTCTATCTTTAGAGCCTCTCGATAACTTTTAAAAACGGAAATACCTAAACTTTTGACAGAAGGCTCTTCGATAGCATCTTCAAATTTTCATAAATGCAACGTAAAAAAGTGGCGAGCTGTTGTCCTATCCCGGATTCTTCTACCTCAAAATCTATGCCTATCCCACAATTGTAACTTACCAGAGCCCAATTTTAACATTAGATTCTGTTTGTTCATAAACATTAATTCCATTTAAACTAAATGAATCAAGCTTAGTCAAATCAATCCATGGATAATAACGAGCTAATGAAAATAAAATAAAATATAAAAAAATAAAGAAACAAAAATCAAGATAAATCTTTACACCAAGTTTGAAAAAACATTTTAGTTAAAATAAAATCACCATGTAATCGAAGTAAAAGTGGTGCTAATGTAATTAATGAAACAATCAATAAAATCAAACCAAAAAACCATCGTACTAAACTATAACAATCCATAGAATAATTCATATAAAAAATTATTTCTTCTTTCTTTGTTTTATTTTTACATTTTTTTCAAAAGTAATGGTTTTTTTTTCTTAACAATAATTATTTCTTCATCTTCGTCTATGAAAACTTCTTTCTTAATTTTTTTGTTACTCATGAATCTGAAAAACAAAGAAAATTTTAAGTTAAACCAAATTAAAAAAAAAAATACCCTGCAACAAATACATAAAAGAGATTCGTTAAGAGAAATAAAATGAATCGTTTCTTAATCAAAGAAAACAAAAAAAAATATTTTATTCCGGAATAGCCTTTAATATAGCATTAGGAACATCAAATGTTTGATCATCACATACAACAATATCATAAACATTTTTATAAACTTCTAATTTTACCGGTGTACTATGATTTAAATAACCAATTTTAAGTATTTGTTTTAAATTTTTCATACCACCAATCATTCCAACATCACCTAATGAATCACCTAGAAGAATAACATTTGGACGTGTAAGTATTGTTTGAAAATATGGTGTATCAGATATTTCATGTTCATTTTTATTAAATGAATGTATTAATTTATCACTAAATGATAGAATTTTTCCATCATTATCATAATTAATAAAATTTGAAACAATATGTGATGATTCATGATTATGTTTAAAGTCAGGAATTTCTTTTTCAAGACAAAATTCTATCACATCACCTAAAATTTTATAGAAAAAAAAAAACAAATACGAATAAGTCATTGCGAATAAAATGTTGCTTTTTTTTTTTACCTAAACCAGCTGAAAATATTAAAATAGGAGTTTCACTATGTAATAAATCAGTTATAAATTCATGAACACCTTTTTTTAATTCCATACTGGCTTGATGAACAAATTCACGTATTGAAGATTTTGTTAAATTTGATAAAACAAATAGATTTTGTGCTTTACGCCACCATTCAATCATATAAGGTATTTTTTCTGACACATCCATATGAACGTCTATTTCTATTGGATGATATTTTAATCGTAATGCTTCAGCTTTAATAGCAAGTAGTGAACCATCAGGTAGCTAAAGAAATATTTTTTAAAAAAGTCTTAATCATTCTTCAATAGAATAGGCGTGAATGAAAATTTTAAATAAGTTTTCATACGAGAAAAGCAACCGAAGGTTTCAACAGTAGCTTGTCTATTCTAGCAAACATCCAAATAATTTGTAAGAAGCAAACTTTCAACCAAGTTAAATGATCTTGGTCTGCTTATAATAAAAGACTATCTCATAAACAATCCGTTTCAGGTTTTTGTTAAGACCGAAGCTCATTTTTACACAGTTATGATTTAAAGAATGTCTTCCGTCACAATCCAGTTGAGCGTAATAATCATAGGATTGAAGCTTAACAAATTATCACAGATGAGGATGAAGCAACCACTTCTATTTAAGACATTCATTCACTACATATCGCCTTAAAAAATACTTAAAGCTATAAATAAATGAATCCTGAACACTCAGTTGATTGATCTATACTAATATTGGCAAAGCTCTAAATCCCATATATTCTCATTTGTTACTTGTTTCATAAGAAATGCTTATATGTACATGTTAAAGATCTTCAATATTCACTTCATTTTGTAAACAATGTCTTTTACATCGATTCCATTCTTCTGATAATTTTAGTACAAAGATAGTTGTTTTAGTAATAAGATGTTGAAATAGATAATAATAAAAATCTGTATACTATAAAAAACAAATAAACTCGCAATATTAGAATATCTATAATTCGTTGTCGTGCTGATGGAATCAAATATTTGAACTCAATAAAATTCCGTGTGTCTTGACAAAATATACATTCATTTTTTTTTTAACTTCTTAAAGGAGATTGCAGAAATTGATTTTGAATCAAAATTTGGTATGATTCGGAATATATTGGTTCAACACTTCTATAGGACTTGCAGGGTAAAACTTATAAGTCGAACTTTTAGGAACGTGAAAGTTAAGTTTGTACATAGAAAATTGACAGCCTTTTTTGCATAGAATTAGAGGTAAGATTGTTCTCTGCTAAATAACGTATGAGAATCAAAAGTTTCTGGAAAATCATTCAGAAATAACCGAGCTGACTTTGAAAGTGTTTCTTCTCAACATGCTCGCTGCTAACAAATGACATGTAACAAATTAATCATTAATATATCATTTTTATAGAGCAATCTTTGTTCTTCGATTCACTTCTGATTTCGATAGGTTTTGCCGCGCTGAAGCTCTTCCATACTCAATTTACAGTTCTCGGAAAAGTTTGCTCATAAAACTTAAATTAGAAATTCTACAAAACTATCCTAATCATATTCAGAATGAACATAAAATTCTACGTCTCATCCAATGTTTTATAGACTCAAGAATGACCGAACATTTTGTCAAAGTACTTTTTGATAAGTCATTACAATACGACCAAAAACTAATATAAATAACTGAATATCAATTACAATGAAAAAAAAACCATAATCAATAAAAAAAATGTCTATTTAATTGAAATCTTACTTTAACTTGTGCATTGGATTCAATGACACCAAATGTTGATGGTAAAATAACTCCATTTTTTTCATAAACTGTTAATGTAAAATCAAAATCTGCAACAACGTGTAACATTTTTCGTCCATCATTAAGTAATGATCGAACTGTATCTTCAACATAAATACGTTTATCATCATGAATATGAACATGAGAATTTTCATTTAAAATTTTTTCAATAAGACTCATTGTTCTTTTTTTTTTTCGCTTTCGATCTAAAAATAAAAAATAATTTAATATAAACTTTAAATATTCGAGCATAAAAACTAAGAAAAATATAATTTATGAAGTTATTGTAGCAGTAGCATCATTTTCAGTATTAGTAGTTAAAGATTTTTTTGATGCTAGTACGGACAATAATGCTGTTCGATATAGTTCATAAAGTTGTACTCGAGCTAAATTTTCATTTTTATATAATCTACTCATCATTGCATTGAATGATTCAAGTTCAGATAAATTAAATAAATGCCATTGAAGAAGAACATCATTGCATGATGATGCTTGAGAATAAATACGTAAAAATGATGGAATTCGTTGTTTTAATAATGAATTTGCTGGTACAAGATTTTTTTTAATGAGACTAAATATGAACAAAAAATAATTAATTAAATAAATTAAAAACAAACCAAAAAAAATATTGATTTTATTTTTATTTACTTGGATTGTCGTTGAGTATGTCTACGTGAAAGAAAATTGAATCCTTGTTTATGAACATCTATTCGATCAGTTTTCGTTTCAATTTCATCATCATTTTCTTCTTCTTCTTCTTCTTGAACTGTATGAGTTTTATTTAAATTCATTGTTACTCGATGATGAGTTTTTTCTATTGATTGCCTTGCTTCTTCAATACTTTTTCTAAGAAAAAAAAAAAAATAATATGTTTTTTGTTTCTTATGGAAATTTATATTCATTATGTTTTTTCTCACTTAACAGGATCACTAAAAGCTTTACGTTTTTGTTTTTGACGTCGAGTTTTTCTCATGTCTTTGCCATAAAGTAAACGAGAAAATTCACGATCAAAACCTACTGATGCATTATTAACAGTGTTTGATGGTTGACTAGATGTTGAATGCGAACGTTCAAAATTTGATGGTGGTGATTGATAACGTGGAGGTGGAGGACGAATAGTACTATTACTTATTGGATTTTTTATAATTGGAGCAAACGACGAAGAAGAATTGCCTCTTAATAGATGTTGAGATATTGGTGAACCAGAATAAACATGTTCAAATAAGGGTGATGAAACAGATGGATGAATGAGACGTTGAACTGGTTCAGTCACTTATGTAATAAAAAAAAATTCTTTCATTTTTAAAGTCTTGAATAAGTAATCTTATTCATTGAAGCTTTAGTAAGTCTAAAGTTATGTACGGTAGTGCAAAGATTAGAAAATTTTTTTTAGTCAAAATACATAGAATGAAAACAGCTCGTACTGCTCATCTCTAACTGAGGGTAGTAAGATGTATATACTACAAGTTAGAGTAGATGTTATTTTAATTAGATTACTCCTTCGTTGAAAAAATAAATCTGAATACAGATAAGACTACAGATATAACTAAACTTATCTTGTTTTCAGAACAACTTTTGTGATTCTGCAATGTTTTTATCAAGTCTTGAAAAATAGGTTTTCTCAAATTTGGCTATATCTAAGCATGTAGGGTGTGTTCATAGGTACTTTTGTAAATCTAACTTGCTATTTTCTGATAGAAGATAAGACCAAAAATGTCTTATCTCATTTTTAATTAATCGATGTCGAGATACAAAAGTATCCAATTTGTTTTCATTGTTGAGAAAATCAAACATTTTTTCGTTTTAGTGATAGAAGGGCTCTTGTTTGTTGTAGTTTCTATTATCAAAATTCAATTGAAAAACAAAATAAACATCATATTCAGAATCAGCGTGAAAATTTATGTTAAGCTATATATATTTTAGCAAATTCATTTTGTCACAGATAACATACTTGTATTCCTCCTTAATATTTTCTTCTGAAATTTTGTCTGTGACTGATGTTCCATTTGAGACAAAATTTTTCTGAAGTAAATGTGATCTATGTAGTTTTTCATGCTGATTTTAAATATTCTATTTGGTTTTTCAACTAAGTTTGGATAATGAAAACGACAATAACTAAGTTCTTCTTACTTCTAAAACGACAAAATGTTCGATTTTCTCAACAATAAAAGCAAATCTGAAACAAACAAAATGTGTACCTTTGTACTTCAAAACCCGCTGTTTTAAATGAGATAAGACATTTGTTTCTATCTTCTGTCAAAAAAACACCTCGATAGGTTTATAACAGTGCCTATAAAATATATGCTACTAAACTACATATATTTATGATAATTCTCTTACATTGTTTATTTCAAGTGTAAGAAAAAAAATATTTTTTTTTTTAGTCAGTATTGTTGCTGAATTAGAAAAAAACATTGTAGAGACTTGAGAGTTATTTTGATAAAAAAAATGATTTCACTTATATCTGCGGTCTTATCAGTATTTGGAAGTTTTTACGACAAATGAGTAATCTAATAAAAATAAAAAGTATACATTTATAAGTAGCTCTCCATATAAATTAATGAAAAATAAAACCCATTCTAATTTCTAGTTTTACATGATGTGCATCTTAAAATACTCATTAAAATTCATATCCATTAAGGTTTTTCTTTTTAAATATACATAATCTAATCATTTTTAAAAGATTTTTTTATACTTCTCTAGAAGTGATGGTCTTATGAGTAGCTAAAAATAATTCAATGTCTAGACTTGTAGACCTAAAACTGCTCGAATAAGAGTGTCTGAAAACCAAGACCTACAAAACTATTTTTCTAGCATACATAAGAAGCTTTTTGAGAATGATTTTATTTGATATAGTAAATAATTCTGAGCAAAATGTGATGTATCAGCTCTCTTCATGATCTTCCTTTATCGAACTGTATTCAATTTATAGAACACCTCAAGGCGTCTAACACAGCGAAATTACTGATATTTTGTCCGCCATTATACTAACGTAACACATTCGATTATATGTATTCAATGATGTACATACCTGTTGAAGTCGTTTGATGACCATTAGCTACACTTGATGAATAGGAAGGTGGCGGTGGTCGATTTCTGTTTTGTTCATTTAATATGAATTGAGGAGATGGAATAATATGTTGATGATTTTGAGAAGAATTCCATTGTGGTATAGATGGATGTATATGACAACTTGTAACACTCGTATTAGAATAAATCGACGATGATAACAAATTAGAGTCTATATTTGTGGATTGTTTTACTTTAGCATAATGCATAGCAAGAATTTCATCAACAGTTAATGTTGATTTTTGTATTTGTTTGTCATCATTTTTTGTTTCTGTAACAATATTTTGTTGATCTAATAATTGTTCGAGTGAAGATGAATAATACAATCGTTCTATATTTATTTGACTTTTTGTAGAAGATTTTGATTTTGTTGAAATTAAATTAAATTTAGTATCTTTGACAAATGATGATAGAGTTTTATCATGTTTTTCTTCTTCTGTATCTTCTTTTATTTGATCAGAAATTAATTTATCATCAATAATTTGTACGGGTGCAGATAATATTGTTGCTTGTCTTAATTGACCAAATGTAATTGGTTGAGATTTATGTTCAATATGAGAAGATCTTACTGATGATATAGAAGAATCATCATTAGATTTTTTAAATGTTTCAAGCATAGCAACAATACGTCGATGAAATAATTTCGAATGAACACATGATGAATCGATTGATAATATTTCATTTGATGTTGAATTATTTTGAGAAGATTTTACAGAAACAAGTTTATTTTCATCATTATTTAATGATGATGAAGCAAGTAATTCAGCCATTTTTGCATTAAATCGATTATCATTAACTCCTGAAGGAAAAACTATGTATTCAAAAATAAGAACAAATAGAAAATATATGATGATTGAAATATTATCACTAAACCTGATCCAGATGGTGGAGCATTTCTTGGAATAAATTTTCCTTGAATACTATTCTGAAAAGTAACTTTTGTCTTTTTTGGCATATCTAAAACCGCATATATAAATGTTTTTTATTTTATCTTCTTCTTATTATTTTATTCGTTTTAGTTATTTCACAACGAATACATAAAACAAAAAAACAAAAATAAACAAACAAGAACATTCTTTTTTGTTTTCTTTTTATGCTTTAACAGCATATGTACGTTGTGGAAAAGCCCATTGTCGTCGTTGAGTTTTCTTTAATTTAATAGATTTTTCTTTCGGTGTTAATAAACGTCGAATAGCACGTGTTTTACGTGGACGTAAATCTTTTGGTTTGTATTTTTTTCCATGATATAATTTTCTTAAATTATCTTTTGTTGTTTGATTTCGAACGATAAGCACACGTGCAATTGATTTACGTACATTACGAATTTTACCTAATTTTTGTGCACCACCACTACCTGTTACTTTTCCAACACGTAATGTATTTAATTCTTGACGTAAATCACCTAATTGTTTTTGAAGTTCCTCTTAAAAAAAAAAAAAACAATATTTTTTGTTTTATTTTTATATAAAAATAAAATAAATTTATAGGAAGACAAGTATTTTACCTGGTTTTTTACCACGGAGTTGTGAACATTTAACTCGTGTCATTGTTCTTGATTTTTTCTAGGAGAAAATTTTATCTAAAATAGGATCATTTGAAATGAGAACGATCTTGTTTTAATCGAAAAAAAAAAATAATTGTTTGTAGTTTTTCGTGTTTCACTGGATAAGTATATTGTCATGAATCATGATTAACAGAAAAAAAAATACCAATCGATAGATGGGACTAAAATATCAACTTCTTTCTGAATGGTTCATTTCTACGAAGAGGATAAAATAACATAAAAACAAATAATCAAACAAAAAAAAAATTGTTAAAATCAAGAGTTTGATCAAGATGGAAATGCAAAATGTTGGTAAAGAATTTGAATTTATTCTTGGAATACTGAATATATTTGTAAATAAATTATCATTCTACAATTTTCATTTAATTAACAGATATATTCAATCGAGTATTCATATTAAAAAATAACTGACCCAAATTTCATGAAAATATTGGGAATTATCAGACCCTACATTTGAAAAAAACAAGTCATCGTTCAATATAATATTATCATGAATATATAATGTCGTTGTCAACTCATGGTAACTAAGAGAATATTTGAAGCTAGAGACAACTTTGTTTTTTTGTTAGTTTCATCATTTACAATTGCTAGATTAAAAATGAATTTAACTTTGTCAGATATTATTTTATATATTGATCAAAAAAGATTCAAGTTTTAGAAATAAAAATTAAGATATTCAATGAATTTTGAAGTATAGAATATCATTTTGGAGTTAGGGATGAGATAAGTTTAAACATACTGTAGTAACTTCTAGTTGCTGACTTATTTGAGTTAAAAGCTTTGTTGAAGATTTGCTTGTAAAGAGAAAGTATTGTTTTTATTTTTATTTGATTGTAAAATAATTGAGAACAATTGAAAAAAAAATATCTGATCATAAATGAATCTTTAGAAAAAGTATAATAGACATATTTTGAAAATCTATGTTCTTAGTGCTAAAATATATTTATGTATTAGATTTCAATTATTTAAATTCGAATAATTTGATTTGTTCTAGATACATTATTATTATTCATGTTGTCACGTTTATTGTATTCATCTGTTTTCCCCTTTGCAATAGTTATTATCGTTATCTTCTATCGTTCATCGCCATTAACAGTATTGAGTGAATATATAGATTGGCGTTCATCCGGTTCAACACATCAAGAATTAATTGGGAATTTATACAAAAATGGTTTCATTCAAGACAAACGCATTATGGATGCGATGTTAAAAGTTGATCGAGCTGATTTTACAGATCAAAACTTCGATGTTTACAGTGATCGACCTCAACCAAGTAATTAAAAAATTGTTTATTCATTTAATATTTTAAAACTATCTCTTTTTTTTTCCTTATTTAGTCGGGTATGCTGTAAGTATGCGTACATTCAACATAAAACATAGTTGAATTTTTTATCATTTAAACTTCCAGGTAACAATCAGGTAAAGTTTTTCTATTGTATTGAAAATGTAAAGTATTATTATTATTGTTATTATTAGTGCGCCACATATGCATGGCTTTGCATTAGAAATTCTTAAAAAGAAACTTCAACCTGGTATTTCTTATCTTATAGGTTGTATTCAATTTTTTATATTCATTTTTAAGGAGCGAAAGTTCTTGATATCGGTTCTGGTTCAGGATATTTAACAGCCTGTATGGCTCATTTAGTTCGTCCAAATGGTAAAGCTATTGGTATTGAACATATTCAAGAACTTGTTGATAAATCAATTAGAAATATTAATAAGCATAATAAAAAATTATTTCATGAAGGTCTTTTAGAAATTCATAAAGGCGATGGTCGACAAGGTTATCCTATGGAAGCGCCTTATGATGCAATTCATGTTGGTGCAGCAACATCTGGGACACCCCATGAACTTCTTCGTCAATTGAAAGTTGGTGGACGACTTGTTGCACCTGTTGGAAATTTTTTTAATCAAGAGATGATAACATACGATAAAAAAGCAGATGGAACATACGATGAACAAAGACATATGAGTGTCATGTATGTTCCATTAACGGATGAAAAATCTCAATATGCAACAGCAGGAGGACGAAGACAAATTTAAATGAAATTATATTAAATAATCAAGCCTATTTTTTTCGTTTTTTTTTTTTTTACCAAAACAAATAATTTAACCTTGCATATTTTCTTGTATAATTGTAGATCAATATTCTATTGTTGACATGTTATCAAAACGTCTTTTTTCATCATTAATTTCGGCATCAACATGTCGTTTTATTCAAACCAGTGCTATACTTAGTTCAAGTCAACAACAGAATACTCATACAACTTATGATAAATCAATTTATGATTCAACACGAAAAAATTTATATATTAATAGTGAAACACGTGTGATTTGCCAAGGTTTTACTGGTAAACAAGGTACATTTCATTCACAACAAGCACTTGAGTATGGAACAAAATTAGTTGGAGGTGTTAGTCCAAAAAAAGCTGGTACTAAACATTTAGACTTACCAGTATTTAAAACAGTTCATGAAGCTATGAAAGAAACTGGCGCAACAGCAACGGTTATTTATGTACCACCTCCCGGTGCTGCTGAAGCTATTCTTGAAGCTGTTGATGCTGGTATTGGTTTAATTGTATGTATTACAGAAGGTATTCCACAACATGATATGGTTAAAGTTAAACACCAACTTGTTCGACAGAATAAATCTCGTCTTGTTGGACCAAATTGTCCAGGTGTCATTGGTAAGTGTAGTCAGACTTCGTGGTAATTTTTTGCAAGTATATAGGGCAAACTCTTTTTCTAGAAAAGACTATTTTTTAAAGAATTTAAGAAAAACTACAGTACTCAGTAGAATCATGCACAGAGGGTGTCCCATAAGTTTTGAGACTCAATGAAAATTTGTTTGTATGTAAATAAAGACGGATCCCTATCCAACTCTATGATTATGAACTTCTAATACTTAAGACAATGTTCTAAATAGTATATTATCCGATGATATTCATGTCTATTAATAATAATGATATAAACAGAAGAAACGTGATAATTAGGATGTGCCGGAGTGTGGATACAAAAGATAGTCACACCCACACCCCTCATCGTTCTAAGTACTTGAAACATGTATATATATATAGTTAGGGGAAGGATCACTCTTTGTTTACATATAAACAAATTTTCATTGAGTCCAAGAACTTATGGGACGCCCTTTAATCTACATCTCAGATTATTAAATAAATTCTGTATACGTTCAAAATCATATTTGTCAAACACAGAGAACAAAAATTTTTTGTCGGGAAAATTATAATTAACTGATAGTTTCTGTTCGATTGATTGGTAGGAGGTTAATAGGACGTGTATGAAAACAACGGTAAAACAAACATGAAATAGGAAACTTACCGAAGAAGAAAAATAGTTGGTTATTGTTCTTTTACCGGCTTGGATTGTTTGTTTTTTATCGTTATTATGTAAAGTACCTAAGAGCTTGTTTAATCAACATACATATATGTATATATATGAACAATAATGATAGAGCAAGATATTGTTTTCAATTAAAATAAGTACTCTTAATTTTTGGTTGTTGAACTTTTAACAAAACTCGCTTAATACACAGTACTGTCTCAAGTATAAGATTAAAATAAAAGAAAAATCTTATAAAAACAATAAATTAGCATAATTCTTTGTTTTTTATTAATATTGCAAATTAGATGTTTGAAAATATCAATATTATAAATAGTAGATCTAGCAAACTTCACTCTATGATACATCTTTGATATTGTTGCCAACGATTTCTTTATGAAAACTATAGTGAATTAATCGCTTAATCATCTGTGATAGTAGTGTCTAGCATCAATTGTCCTTTCACAGCTATAATATGAGATATGAACAGCTACAAAGACACTAGAGTCAGCTTTTTCACTGTCTTTAGTTCTATCTCGAAAAATTAGCAAAGTCTGTGAAAATCACTGTTGCAGAGATAAAGATTCAGCGTTTATGAAACCATTTACTACAATTTGAATAAGGTTTTTCTAACTTTTAAAGTTTGAAATATAAAGCTTACGTTTGGACAAATATATTTCGACGTTCTAGGTTTAAAACGATCATAAAGCAAAGTACTGACTTGCGATCGCTAAGTTTGGAAAGAGAATCATTAGATTTGATAGTGATAAATATTAACACACTATGAGAACTCTTGATTTTTTTTTGAAGTTTATAGGAATTATAGAGAAAATATCAATAACAGAGAACATTATAAGAACATGTTCAAAAATATAGAATGACTACAAAACTTAAGTCTACTATTATTTTTCAAATGAATTTTACTCATAATTTCTATATTTAGCTCCTGGTCAATGTAAGATTGGAATTATGCCAGGTCATATACATCGACCTGGTCCAATAGGTATTGTTTCACGTAGTGGTACATTAACATATGAAGCTGTACATCAAACAAGTCAAGTCGGTCTTGGTCAATCATTATGTGTTGGTATTGGTGGTGATCCATTTAATGGTACAGATTTTATTGATTGTCTTGACATATTCTTAAAAGATCCAGCAACAGCTGGTATTATACTTATTGGTGAAATTGGCGGTAATGCTGAAGAAGCTGCTGCTGAATATCTTAGCCAGGTTAATACTGGTTCAAAAGCAAAACCTGTTGTTGCTTTTATTGCTGGACAAACAGCTCCACCTGGTCGTCGTATGGGTCATGCTGGTGCCATTATTAGTGGTAAATCAGGCGGTGCTGAAAGTAAAATTCAAGCATTAAAAGATGCCAAAGTTAATGTTAGTGACTCTCCAGCTAAAATGGGTCAATTAATGTACAAGTTAATGAAAGGTGAAGATCATCCAATCAGTCGAAAACAAACACAGTGAGTGCGATGGCTCATATAAAGCTCGCACATTAGCTATTTTAGAAAAAGAATTTCATATTCATTATGCGTGTCTTTTGCTCTTTTTTGTTCCTTATATCTCTAGTGTTTTGTTTTTGTTTGTCGGCGTAAAAGAATAGAATTGTTTGACTTTATTATCAGCACTGTATTT